TTTTTTTCTTTTTTTTATTTTATTCTGGGCCAGCTTTAGCTCTGGCTCTAGCTCTGAGGCTTCGTATCTGGTTTGTTTGCCGTTCTATAATCGAAACAATGTATAACTTCAGCTCTGAGATCCCGGCAGGCTGAAAGCTGGTTTCTGGGGTTTTGTTTAGCTTCTTATTTGCAACATAGTACATAGTTGCTTAGAGTTGCAACTCAGAGGCCGGCAAGTCAGGCGGGGAACGTTGGAGTCTGCAGTCACTGGAGCAGGCAAGCCTCATGTTCGCTTCCAGCTGCCTGGCTGCCGGCCGCCATCTTGGCTGACAGTTAATTTGCATAAGGATATGCTGATTAGCCAATGGGAAGGGTAGCGGTCGTACGCTAATTACCATGTTTCTCTTTTATTAGTGTAGATAGGGAACATAAGTAAAGTGCCTCCTGAGTTTTGGGAGCCATTCTAGCACATAACTGAACCTGAGGAGGGCTCATGGAAACCCTGGATTTATGGCCAGTTGGTCAGAAGTACAAGTGGCCACCTAGGATTTGTGACTGGTTTCTGAAGTGCATGCAGTTTTGTGGGACTGAACCTGTGGGGTTTGTGTTAACTCCTGGTAGTTAGTGTCAGTATTGAATTGAATTGTAGGGCACCCAGTTGTTGTCTGCAGAGAATTGGAGAATTATTTGGAATGGAAAACCCATATACATTTCATGTCAGAAGTTTTGTGAGTAAAACCTGCTCATCAGACACCCTGGTCAGTGTGCTAAGTGGTTAGAGCATTGTGAAGAAGGGTTCATTTCCCAGTCAGAGCACATACCTGGTGGGAGGCAACCAATCAATGTGTCTCCCACATCTCTCTCTCTCTCCTCTCTCTCTCTCTCTCTCTCTTCCTCTCTCTCTCCCCCTCCCTCTCCCTCTTCATCGCCCTCTCCCTCTCCCCCTACTCCTCCCTCTACTCCTCTCCCTCCCTCCTTCCCTTTCACTCTCTCTAAAAATCAATGGAAAAAATATTCTCGGGTTAGGATTAAGAGGGGGAAAAAACTGCTCAGACTATCCTGTCAGTCCCAGCTTAAAATGCTACCCTGGCTTCCCCTTGCACTTGAATTCATTACCATGATTTTTATAAAAGCCATCCATTATCGAGCCCAGCCTGGTTCTCCAAATAATAGCATCTGGTACCACTCACTTCCCTTTGGCTATTGCCTTTTCTTTCTCAAATATTCCAGTGCTTTTCAGCTGCAAAACCTTTGTACTTGCTGTTTCCTAAACTGAATGTTCTTTCTCAATATCTTGGCATGCTGACTTTCTCTCATCCTCAGCATCAGCTAAGATGTTACCTCCTTAGGGAGGCCTGCCCAACTGTTATACTTAAAGACCCTCTCCCTACCTACCTATCCACCCACCCCTGTTAAGTTTCATCACCATCACCTTGTTTTTTCCTTTTAATGAGTTTATCACTCTCTGAGTACCTTGTATTGTTCAACACTGATCTCTAGTACTTAGAATTGTATCTGGCACATATTAAGTGCTCTATAAAAATCTGTTGAGTGAATACTTTTATATATGAGAAAACTTTTACCCCCATTTTCAGAGAAATTCTTTCCTACCTTTGATTTTTATCAACTCATCCTATCTAATAATAGACAAACATGGTAATTGACCATACCTTCGCTATGCCTCCCATTTGCAAATTAACCACCAACAAAGATGGCGGTTAAGCATATTGCC